ATCCAGCAGAATTGTATCAAGTGGATTAAAAGTTAAAAATTTGATCGTATCAAAAATTTGGTGGAAAGAACCAGATTTCATTAGAAGAAATTTTGAAGAAAAACTAAATCCAAGTGAAGATGAACTAATTTTAAAGGTGGATGATTCAGAAGTTAAGAAAATTGTAACATTTAAAACCACAGCATCAGAAACCCAGTCAGTTGTAAACAACTTTGAAAGATTCTCCAGCTGGTCCAAATTGAGGCAAGCTATATCTGTTTGCCTGAGAATTCAAGATAGAATCAAGAAAATTAATGGTGCATCTGCTTTAAGCCTTCAACTGTAGAAGAATTAAAGAAAGAAGAAATGGAAATTATCAAAGAATTACAGAAATAATATTTCACTGAAGAAATAAGAATTTTAGAAACTTTAAAGGTGAATAATAATAAAAAGGATAGGGAGGATGAGAAAGAAGAGAAATTGTATCTGAGGAAATCAAATGCCTTGTATAAGCCAGATCACTTTATTGATGATAATGGTTTTTTTCGCATTCCAGAATGCTAAAATATCAACTGAATGTCAACATCCAGTAGTAATTCATGTGACTGAACTGATAGTGAGACATTTCCATTCCAAAATGAAGCACCAAGGAAGAAGTACTACCCATAATGCATTAAGAGCAAATGGTTTTTGGATTTTTGGAGGTCGTAATGTAACATCAAACATCTTTTAGAAACTCATAAAAATGCCTTAACCCTCTTGGTACCTGGATATTTTTCTAAATATGTCATTATCAGCCCGGGTGAATTATTACTAATTTGCGAAATTTTGATGAATTGTACACAATTTACCCTCAGAGATATCACCTCAGACTTGTTATATTGATTTTAGCTGGATTATTGATAAACTCATTTTTAGGAATTAGTGAGATTCCATAGCAGAAACAAATAAACTGGATATTAAAGTGTATTTCAAAGAAACTGATACTCATCAACTCTTGCACAAGAGCTCCTTTCACCCAAAACATACCTTTTCTGGTATAATTAAGTCACAAGTTTTACGATTTCATCGAATTTGTACAAGATCTTCTGATTTCAACCAAGCCTGTACGATTGTTTTCTCAAAACTGAAAGAGCGTGGGTACTCTAAACGATTTTTACGAAACATAAAAAACTCCACCTTAGCACAGATAGCAGCTAAAAACAGACTTTATGCCGAAGTACCTCCAGGTTTAAGAAGTGCTCCATGTTTGTCCAGTAGATACAAAACATGTCCCTTTATATCAGAAACTCATTATTTTGTAAGCAACTCTACGAATAAAAGGTACCCGATCCAGGAACATCTAACATGTGAACATTCGAATGTAATATATTTAATTTCATGCAAGAAATGCCCCAAACAATATGTAGGAGAAACTAAGAATAATTTACGAACTCGCTTTAATGCTCATAGGTCAGACATCAAATTAAAGAAAGACAAGCCTGTTTCTAATCATTTCAACCTCGACGACCATTCAATAGACGATCTCACCCTAATCCCAATTGAGCGTATAGAAATTGACTTGCCCGAAGATGAACTACCAATTCCGTCATCTAGGGAGGCCCATTGGATTGAGACATTGAATACAGCATTGTGATTTTTATATTTATTTGTGTTTTCTCAACTGGTTCCTGTATTATATAAATTTACTAAACTGTTCAAGGAAATTTGAAGATTGACTACATGCGTAGATTTTTTTGGGGTGAAAAACACCTATTTGATCAAAAACAGGGAAATTGTACCTATTAGTGATAGGTAGTTTTTAACTTCTCCAGTAACAGAGAAACCTATTCACTTAGCATGATGAAGTGTAAAAACACCATTTAGCAGACAAAACAGATATTTTGGCGAAAAACCCTTTTTTGGGTAAAAAAAAACAGGGAAATTTTACCTAATAGTGATGGATGGTTTTTAACTTCTGTAGTAACAGAAAAGCCTGTTCACTAAGAAGGATGAAATGTAAAAATACCTTTTAGCAGACAAAACAAATATTTTAGGTGATAAACACGTTTTTTGTTCAAAAGACAGGGAAATTTTATCTTAAAAAATGTTAATTACGATTTATAGATGTATCATGACTAAATCATGGCAGTGGAAAGCTGAATTTGATTGAAATGTTGTAGTTCAGAAGTCGACGCTATCAAGTCATAAAAGGGATATCCTAAAGTTTAAAATAGCTTCTGATGGCACAAATTAGCAGAAATCAACAAACAGTTAGTGTTGAAACGGTTAATCAGTTAACCGATTGCGGGTAGTATTTCACGAATAACCAGGTCTGATTTGAGATCATCGGTTAACCCTCAATTTTATAAGAAGTAAAAAGAAAGTAATTTTGACAGAAATTTCATCACTGTACAAGTCTTTAAGCTGTTTTCTTTAGTAAATAATCATCTTTATTGACTGAATAATTGAGATTAATAAATCAAGATAGGGTATCATCAATTATCAAAACAGTGAAACACTAACGAGTTGCAAGAATTGCGGTCAAGATTATCAAGCCTCTTTTTTGATATAAGTTCAACTAATTACTCGTTCTGAATAACCTCGTCACGATGGTCTTAGTTTATCGACAGTCGCCGTGTGCACCGTTATGTTAATTAGGTTGAACAAATAAGCACTGTAATCATTATCAGACGTTCGGCACGCGCCACAGTTCATTGAATCTTGTGCAAAAAGTTTTCGCTTTCAAAATGTCATCAAAAAGTGGAATTTGGGATTTCTTTACAAAACAAACAGAATCTGAAAAGGCTAAATGTGATCTTTGTGGAAATCAGCTTGCATACAGAGGAGTATCAACTTCTGTTTTAAGGAACCACTTGAAATTCAAGCAATCTGTCAATTGATCTTAAGACAAAAAAACATCCATCATCATCGCCGTCGGATACTAACATTTTGGTATCAGAGGAGAGTTCGTCGACCTCAGAACAAGGACATGATGTAATGGTGTCGAAAGGGCCCACACAGAAAACTACTACTCTGTCTACATTATCTGGATTTATGCAAAAACCACCTATGGGAAAAAAGTCAAAAGAATGGAGGGACATAACACAGTCACTCACCAAATTTGTTGCCAGGGACATGTGTCCAATCAGCATCGTTTCTGGTTGGGGATTCAAAGAATTTTGTCGAATGCTAAACAGCAGATATGAAGTACAATCCCACACAACAGTTAACATACATGTGTACAGGTTAGGAAAAAAAATCTGGAGATTTGCCTTGAAAAATCTGGAGATTGGGTGAAAAGTCGGAAGATTTTTCCAAAGCGCGTAAATTCGTGATTTGAAACTCCAAATTGATTCTTTTTTCATTTTTTTTTTAAATAAGTTTTAAGCCATGTAAATTAATTAAATTGATCATAGGCCTACATGACACAGTTAAAATTACCAATCTATAATGAGGGATAATTCTAGAAATAGTGCCTGATATTTCAAATTTAGGGACCAAAAAAAATTTGATATTGTCATTCTTCAGTATTGATTGAATAAAAAATTATGTCAAGGTGAAATGATGTTTGATAACAAGAAAGCAAGCATGATCCCAGCCTTCTAAATCAAATGGTACCGGTAGGCCTATATCATACATGTAATACCATAATAAAGCCATCTGAAAGCAATATTAATTAAATATGTACTGGCAATGTTACTTTTTCCAAAGGTGTAATTCATGACATCTAAAATATCTCCATTCCTATCATTAAATAATTTTCCTGCAACACTCTCACGAAGTATTGAACTGAATTAACCGCTTTCATTTTGACGTTCTTCAGAATGGAAAGACTTGTAATAAGTAAGCCCGTTATGCAGGCAATCAAATGAATGTTTACAGGCTACAGTAAAATTACAAAACTATTTTATGAAACGAAGTTTGAGTTTACATAAGAATTAGACATCCAGTCGCGTATGATAATCTACCGATAATGAAAAATAATTCTGAAACGACGTCTATGTTATATAGGCCTAATATAGACCTCACAGATTGACACTGACAGTATAAAATACTATGAAGACCTGAAGGTTTCGTTTTTTAGTAAAAGTAGTGCTACCGTAAAATTTATTATTAAAGCGAAAGTAGAATCTACCGGATGTTGTTATAAAAAGTGTGTCACGTGGGCTTAAAATACACATTATCAGGTGAAAATAGATCAAATTACCATCTTAATTTGGGGATTAATTAATTAGGCAATGATAATATTATTACATGATGAGATTAACGCGTGTTACCGACAATCAAGATACAAGTAATGATAGATATTTTGTTGATTTATGGTAGTGAATTTGAGCATTGAAAACGGTAGGTCCCGTGAAAATTTGATAAGGAAAAAAACCCAAAAATCGGTAGAATCGGGTATCCCGCCGGTAGAGCGGTAGACAACATTCAAAAGCGGTAGAAACCCGACAACATCGGTAGATTACACATGTATGAGTTAAATATTATGTGGATACAATGTACAATGAAGAAAGAAGTAAATTTATAACTTTATTGAAATCACAGGAAAATATAGCAATAACCACTGATGCGTGGACCAGTGTTGCCACAAAAGCTTATGTAACGGTAACTGTGCATTTCATGACACACGAATGGACACCAATTAATAGAATTATGTCAACACATGAAACCACTGAGCGCCACACGGGGGTCAATCTGGCGAAAGACATGAGGGAAGTTCAAGAACATTTTGAAGTGCCAGAAAAAGTCATTGCAAGTATCACTACGGATAATGCCGCAAATATGGCTGTTTGTGAGAGAGAGTTGGAATGGACACATATTAGATGTTTCGGTCATAGTTTGCAATTGTAAGTGAAATCTGGTCTGGATTACAAAATCTGATTATTTGAGCTGTTGCTGCAGGAAGGAAGGTAGTTTCATTTTTCCACAAGTCAACAAATGCTGCAAATGCACTAAAGGAAAAACAAAAACTATTGCAGTTGCCGGTACATAGGCTTGTTCAAGATGTGTCGACGAGATGGAACTCGACTTACTACATGTTGAAAAGTTTGCTTGTACAAAAGCTAGCCATTCTCGCAGTACTCCACGACCCTTCAGAAATTAAATCTGCTGACGCCAAAGTTTTAGATGTCGCCGACAGAGACTGGACTATTATTCAAGATATTATTATTATATTGAAGCCACTAGAGGTCGCCACAACTGTGATAAGTGCTGCAGACTTTCCTACGATTAGCATGGTTTATCCTATAGTTCATGGATTAATCAACATTCATTTGGCACCTGCAGACAACGACTCGACAGAAATGAGAAGACTAAAATTAAAGCAGACTTGTCTGATAATACTCTGACAACAAATATTTTGGTCAAAGGCTCAGCTTTGGATCCCAGATACAAAAGTTTGATGTTTCTCAATGACGCGCAAAAAGACATGGTTTGGAAAAATATATGTGAAGAAGCCAAGGAATTGGATAAAGGATCTGGCGATGGAGCTACGGAATACCAACCTCCAACAAAGAAAAAATCAGCATTGGAATTCTTGATTGGCCCAACAGATGTAAGTTCATCTTCGGGATATTCTATTTCGGCCGATAAACAGATAGAGAGATATATCAACGAGGTCTCTTTAGAAGCAGACTTTTCTCCTTTTGAATGGTGGAAAATATCAAGTAAGAGGTATCCTACTTTAGCTAGACTAGCAAGAAAATATTTGAGACTACCCGCGACATCGGTGCCATCAGAAAGAGTGTTTTCAGATGCAGGAAATACTGTTACAAAGAAAATATCTAATTTGGATCCCGGCACTGTCAATCATCTTATCTTCCTACGGGATGCTCTCAAGTAGATAGGACAAATAAATAGTCATTGATCCAATTAAAAAAAACGATGTTGATAGGACAGTGATTAGTGATTACCTTACGGAATATAATTTAGTTAGTTTAATTAATCTACCTTATTTTACATTCCATTTTGAATGGGTTTTTTTTATTTGTTATTAAGATTTAGATGGTGCGGATTGCGTACACCCGTACACCGTATATTTTAAACATGTTCTAGTGTATTAATAAGTTTTGTTATTATTTTTATTGTATTGCGAAAGTGTAACACAGTGTTTTATAAGCATGTTCTAGTGTTTTAATAAGTTATATTATTTTTATTATTTCAATCGGGTACGAGTTGCTTAGAATAAAACAGTTATAAAGATCGTATTACTTTTTACTAACTCTCCTCTAATTGGCTGTTTGTTTCTTCTTGCCTGTCAATCAGCTTCAAGCTTATTAATATTTATGAGTACGGATTCATTGAGACAATAGTTTTATACCAATTGTGGAACCAGTACGCCGATTCGCGGCGACTTCAATGAGATACACTTGTTACACTGACCCCACAACTGGTATAAAAACCTTTGATCTGTCAGAGACTGTAGCAATGAGTGACACTGGCACGAGTCCGTCTGAACTCTGTCAGGCCCGCTTGTAATCTTACATTGAAGCAGACGCTTCAATGGGTTGTTTGGTATCTGTCGATTTGTACAATTCACGGGGAACTAGCCAAAATCATCCTGGGTACTCATTTACACTTACTCTAGTTTGGTTAACGGTGAATTACTGCCGCAAATACTAATCTTTAGTAATTAACCAAGATTAATCGAGTAACAAACGATATGATTTAGATCTATTTAGGTAACAATTGAATATTGCGGATTCGTGTACAATAAAGTATTACACACAGAGATGTAACAAATATTCTATAATTGAAATCAAAAGTATATCAATCTATTTGATAATGGAATTTCTCGAGGATTGGCAGCGTACATTTCACATAATATTTCAGCAAAAATCGAAATCATTTTTTGCCAACCCGATTTCTCAGTAACAAGAGTCGAAATATTAGACAATTCTTTTTTCCTGCATCAAAATAACTCATTTTATGATGGCCAAATGAATCAAGAATGAAATTGTCTTCACATGGAAAGATAGCCAACTTCGATAGTAGTACATATCTATCTAAAAATAGCCTCATGACATCATAAAGTTACATAAAACAACATATAGTCAAACTTGAATTCTGTGTATAAAATAATTAGCTCTACAATATTTTTCACTCTTTACAACAATAAAACTGTATGATGAAATATATCTCTGTAATAATAGGAGTAAAAATTATTTTGAACAAATTCTCTGGATATTTTGGCGGGATCTCGCAAGGGAAATCCTAAAATCATCCTAAATTACATTTGGATGTCACAACATCTCATTAACATAAAATCACAAATGTTTTACATTTGACCGATAGGAAAATGGAATTGTTTATACGCTTGTGGATTAAAACTGGTTGAATCATATCATTAGAAATTATGATCAACATTGCAACGTATAATTTCGAAAAATGGAAAATAACACATTTTTCCACTTGGAAATCATATTTTACAAGAAATTCTGTAGAGGAGACCTATGACAAAAACTAAACTAAAATGTCATGGAACCCTCATTTGCCTAAAATAACATACAAAATACGTACAATTTCGACACTATTTTGGTCAAAAAACGAATTCTAACTGATAGACACCAGCTCGACAAAAGTCGAGTACAGGAGTTCGACATCATTTTCTTAGCTAGACTAAAGGCGAGCACGGGCCCAAGAGGGTTAACTGATGAAGTTTTAAGAACATTTTTGCTGAAGCAGAATGTATTGTTAATAGTCGTCCTTTAGCTTTTAATAATGTTAATGACACTAACTGTATTTGTCCTAATGATATTTTGACTCTTAAGGCTCAAGTGCTCCTCCCTCCTCCAGGTGAATTTGTTAGAGAGGATGTATATCTAAAAAAGAGATGGTGGAGGGTGCAATTTTTGCCCAATGAATTTAGGAAAAGGTGGAAGGAAGACTATGTGCAGAATTTACAAATTAGACAAAAGTGGCTTAACCCTGTTCCAAATCTTAAAATCAATGATATAGTGTTAGTGAAAGATACAAATGTTGTTAGTTTGGAAATTAGGTAGAATTTGTGAAGTCTTCCCAAGTGAAGCTGACGGATAAGTGCGCAAGGTGAAACTAATTTTAGCTGATAATTCAATTGTTAGAAAAGAAATCGAATAACTGCTAGTAAATCTTTAGAAAGACCTGTACTGAAACTTGTGTTATTGATGCGAGCAGATTCAGACCGGGAATCCCCAACGAATAGCCATTTGATGTATATAAGTCTTGTATTTTGTGTTAATGTTATCTAAGTTAGGATATGTATTAAGGTTATCTAAGTTAAGATATGTATTAAGGTTATCTATGTTAGGATATGTATTAAGGTTATCTATGTTAGGATATGTATTAAGGTTATCTAAGTTAGAATATGTATTAAGGTTATCTAAGTTAGGATATTCTGTAAGTTATCTTATTAGTTAGGATATATAACAAGGTTATCTAATGAATTAAGATATAACAAGGTTATCTAATGAATTAAGATATATACTAAGTTCTCCATAGTGTTCGGTTCATATCTTATATTAAGGTTTTCCACATCGGATGTTAAGGTTATCCCATAAGTTAAGTTCATGTTGATGATAATTGGTTCATATCTTTATGGTTATTAAGCGACACTAAGGAAACAGGTTACAGTTATACTTAGAGTTGACTGTTAGATATTTAAATTGTTCATGTTGTGTTGATGTCACAATTTAGAGAAGTCATGTAAGAATTGTAGTGATTTAGCATGCTGTGTCGGGGACGTTATAATGATATTTGACGATCACAAGAAAAGGATTAATAAAGTACACGAATTGTCTAGGAAAAGAATGAATATATATCAGAAGAGGAAACAGAAAATGCTTTTGTTTTTATTTCCATATTTTTTAATTATAAACAAGGAATTTCAGTCCCGTCAACTGTGGATGAGAGCTGGCATTATTAATCTGAACGAGTACCTATAGACCTATATGAAAGGTCTGATATTTTATTGATCCTCATCCCATTAGCCGAATTAGGCTTCAGCATAGCTCCAGGTAATTCTAATATCAAATTGAACTGTGCGAGTGACTGACAGTGGTTTCTTTTTTTTTTATTTTAGGTGAGTTGGAGTTTCATGCATTTATCTACTTTTATCTAAAATTTGCTTATTTGATTTGTCATTCGATAATCATCCCTAAAGCTGGGCCACTCACTCCTGGAAAGTCAATTGTTTAATTCTATGGAATCATCATTACAGCTTTTGTTTTGAGTGTTTAGCTGGTATCTGGTATACCAAACGCCAAGATACCAATTTCAGGAAAGCACTTCCACTGGAAACAAGAATGGGAGTGACATTGTGGCATATTGCTACCAATGTGGAATATCGAACTTTAAGTCATTTATTTGGAATAGGATTATTGACTGCCTGTGAGGTGACGATTGAATGTATAAAGCTAATATGGAACATATTAAAACCAAGGTTTATAGGAATGCCTTCAAGAGACAACTTTCAACAGTTGTTACATAGCTTTGAAAAAACATGATCTTTTCCCCATTGTGCTGGTGCCAACGATGGATCACACATTCCAATAATTGCTCCCAAAAGATCACCATTCAGATTATTCTAAAAGGAAGGGATGGCACTCCATTTTACTTCAAGGCTTGGTTGATGACAAATATAAATTCTGAGATGTGAATAGGATGGGCTGGCTCTGTACACGATGCAAGGGTTTTATCAAATTCAGAACTTTATAAGCAATGTGAAACTGGACAATTTTTTCCAGATGTGGCTAGAGTTATAGAAGGACACGAGATTAAACCGTTTATTATTGGCGACGCTGCTTATCCCTTGTTGCCCTGGCTTATAAAACCTTTTCCTGAATCACCCAACATGCCTACTGAAGCATTTTAATTACAGACTAAGTCATGCTAGAATGTGTGTAGAAAATGCATGTGGACGCCTTAAGGGTCATTTTAGAAAAAGAATCGATTGTGATTTACAAACTGCAAAACTAATGGTAGATGCCTGCTGTGTATTGCATAACATTTGTGAAATTCATGGTGATGAATTCGATGAGAATTGGGTTGAACACTCGCCCTCTGATAATCAAGCATGCGACCAATCTGCTGCTGTCATACATAATTATTGTAAAGATGGTGCCCGAGTCAGAAATCTTTTAAAGGATTATTGTCAATCACATCCAATGAACACACAATAACAATATTTTATTTAAACGACTAAAATAAAATTAACAAAATAAAACGAATGATAACATAAATTTTACATAAAGTTAACATGAATAAACATAAAATTTGAAAGTAAACTTCATACAAAGTGAGATGCTAAAGAGTATAGAAATATAACGTCAAAATTGTTGATTGTGTTGCAGCTTAAGAATACCAAGATACCAATATTATCAAAAAAATGTTAATCCTGCAAAGTACAATTGTCTATATTAAGAATGCAAACTGTATTCTCCAAAATGAAATGTAATGCCACAGAATGCATTTTACACTTTAGACTTTGCATATTACACTTTGCATTGTCAAGCCTTGCAAAATAGATTTTACATAATCAAACATATACATTAGGCGTTTTTGTGGGCCGATTCGATTAGGTAGTACGATTTGGTACAATTTGGTTAAGATTAGCAGTGGTCCACAAATGCGAAATTCAAATTGGTGATTTAGCAATATGGCTGCCTCTGCTGACAACCAATGAAACACAGCTATTTTGATTACATTAGCAACTTCAACATGTAGCCATCTTGGAAAAGCCTAATTGAATCGCCTAATTGTCCTTGCTCACAAATGCACAAAATAGCTAATCTACCTAATCGAATCGACCCACAAAAACGCCTCTTATATCGAATGATGACGTGTTCATTTGCACCAAATGACGGTTGAAATGCATGAATATTTGTAATTCTGCATGAGCAATAAATTCTGAACACTGTTGATAATAAGTAAAGTTTTTATGAAATTTTGAGATAGGACTAAGACCATTTAATCTTTCTTGTGCAAAGATACATTTTTTTTTTAGCATACCTATTTTTCTAGATTTTTCTAGGTCTAGATTTTTAATGTCTGAAATTATCAGGGAGAATTTATTGTTCATGCACATTTATAAACTTCCTTTCATTTCTGCTGTTATTTACTTTATGAATAGTCATCATTCCATATATATATCCATAGGTATTAGGTCAATAATGTAAAATTTATTATACAAGGCTTGACAATGCAAAGTGTAAAATGTTGTCTGCAATCTATAGCATTTCATTTCATTTTGGAGAATACTTATACAGTTTGCATTTTTACAAATCGACAATTGTACAGTATTTACAAATATGCATTTTGTAATGACTACTTTGGTATTTGAAAGCTGAATGTTTGTTATTTATTAATATTTGGTATCAAAGACGAATGAAACTGAAGTAATGTCCATAATTTTGTATGATCATCAAGGAATAATGGGTTGTGACTTCGCTGAAAATCACGTAACAGATTAAGTTAAAAGAAAATTTGACTATGAATTTTAATCCATTATGAATTTTGATAATCAATAACGGAAATTAAAAATTTGTAGCATTGATAATCGATTATTTCAATTATTTGACCAAGCTAGCTCTATTCAAGGCTAGTTTGTTTTTTATTTAAATTTTCTTATTTTCTATAGGGATTGTACTTGGGGAAATGATAAACAATTATGCCATGACCTAATAATAAGACAGGTGATGCCAATTTTATCCAAATTATTAACAACAATTAAAAAAGCACTGTAAAAAGTATATGAAAGGTGTCAATATTCTGACTAACACAATACTAGTAATGGCTATTAAAGCTGTTAGAAGCTATATACATGTTCATTTGAATAATCAGCACTGTAATAATTATTAGAGGATGGATGGAATCTTGGATATTGATTTAATGCCATCATCATTTCCATTCTTTTCAATTCAAAATTATTTTGCTCCATTCGTCTATTACCTTCAAACTCTAACATCATCTTTGTTCATTTCTCTTCAGCTTCTACCTCCATTTTAATGCGCTTCTCTTTCAGAGAAAACATCATCTCATCACTTTTCTTAAAAGCAGCAGCCAATTCTGAAAGAGCCTCTGCTACCTGATTTCTCTTTTCACCTCGTTTTCGTTTATCCGAATTGATACGATATTGGTTAACTGTAGCACTATCCTTTTTCTGCTTGCCTTTTTCTTTTGCCTTAGGAATGGCAGTTGTCAGTGACACTGAATCTAAAATAAATGAAAAATCTTCTAATTAAAATAGACTAAATATGTATTTGTTAGTGCTGAATATTGTCAATCATATCTGTACACAGATTTCTGTAAGCTTTTATACAAAGATAACCAATGTTCAAAAGTTCCTATCTTATTATTATAGTTAAAGGGGCATTATCCTTTCTACCAATAGCACATCAGTATCAGAAACAGGAATTTCATAGCCACGCTACTTAGTAATCTTGTTCATGGTTGAAACCTGAGCTTCAAATCCATGAGTATCCATAAAGATCTGCATTTGAAAGTAAAAAATACATCTCATATTGAATCGGGTGAGACTTTGCATTATAGAGATAAGATATATTATGTAGAAAGTGCATAAATTTACATATTCAAGACCCAAATCAACCATCAAAAATGTTGACTGTTCCCCTTTAAAATATGAATCTGAGAGCTCTAATAAGTATTGGCCATAAAACTAGTAACTAGCATGCCAAAGTTAATATTTGACTTGACTTTTTATGAGGAAAATTTTTGTATCTATGACTATAAGTAATTATAAAATCAACAGAAAGACAGTAAATGTGAAATTTGGGGGGTGAGTTATATTGCAATCCTACCATATCGAGGACCAATCAAGGGTTGGAACAATGAATATGTGTACAGGTAGCCTTCTTAGTACTTACCACTACTTTCTCCATTTCCAGAAATGTCAAAATTTGTTTTTTCACCCATTCTTTGTCTTTCAAATTCTTGTTCTCCATCTTCTGAATCATCTTCAACTACAGTTCTTGAAGTAGAAGTGGTCACTGTTGTAGTAGTAGGCCTAGAATTTGTTGAAAATCCATCATCTTCTTCATAATAATCATCACACACAGGCAACTCATTAGCAACAGGTGTGGATTCTAGAATATTTAGAGGCGAAATCACAGGCATACTGCCTAGAATCTGCTCTAACTCGGTATAAAATTTACATGTTACTCGTTTTCTTCCTGATTTGTTGTTGTTATCCTTAACCTTTTTATACTCTGCTTTTAAGTTTTTTAGTTTGTTCCTACACTAATCAGCACTTCTCACATAACCTCTCGGTGCCATTTGCTTAGCAATAGTTGAAAAAACATGTTTATTCCTCTTCATGCCATCTAATTCATCTTGAATTTTAGTATCGCCCCACACAACGAGCATGCAGCGAATTTCATCGTTGCTCCAATTATAATTGCCAGCGTCCATATTTGTTTTTACCGGGGTGACAATCAAGTGATAATGTTTTGGCATGTGTTACTAAAAATAAAATGTTATCTAGATAACTTGACTAGGCAGTGCGAATGCGGCTATCCAGATAGGATTGCAGTGCGAAAGCAACCCGAACCAAATCGAATCGAACTGAATCGGATTTTTCTAATAACCGAAGTCAATAATTCAGTTGTGCAGTGTGAAAGGGGTTTTAGTCTATGTTCTACTTTTATGAGCAACTGTATTATCGCCCTTTTGCTCGCTTCCTTTTCCTAGACGTACTGCTGACTGTAACTGTGAAGAATAATTAATAGAATAGTAATAAAACAGGGGAATGAGGTTCATGACCTATTATATTTTTATTAATAGAGTATTGATTGGCATTTGTACTGTGTTCAGAATATTGCATTTGTTAATTTAGGCTCATATTTTATATTCATTTACTGTGAGCACTTTTTCTTGATAAGCAGTGTGAATGGAAGTTTGTCCCCTTATATTTTGCCCGCCTTAGTTTGCTAGTGGTGTACCACTTGTCTTCGTACCACATCTAAATGTTCTGGTGCTATGAAATTTGGTGTTATGAAATTTAGTATTCCCTAAAGTATATAGCAGAGTGTTAGTGTAATTAATAATTGTAATTAGGATAAGCTGTTAAGATAGATTGTATTCTACATTTCAGTTTTTACGGACTTGATGGATTAGTTTATGTTGAAGTTTGAGACATTTGTTAGAATGAAATAAATGGTTTTGAATGATAAGATGATATCCTTTAAACCAAGAGAGTCCTGTAAAGCCCAACCCTACTTTTACCCTTTCAAATTACAGAAGGAATGAGCGAATGTCATTACATGTACTGCATATGAGTAATGACTCTCTTAAACCAAATCCCTTCTGTCTTTTCTCCTTGGCTAATTTCATCTCACAGAAATATATATATATATACACAGTATTTATTCAAACAATTGTTATAATAATTATACATTGTATTATGGGTCATTAACATTGCATACAGAATAAAAGTATTCATAAAAAATGTTGAAGGACCGACAGACAGGGGCAATGGAAATATACACTTGTTTTGGTGTAAAATAAAAATTGTTTTAAATTGATATATTTTATCAAACTTGTAATGTGATGGCAAATACTCTTATCATGAATCCTATAATATTATACTAAATTCTTTCAAGAATATTTCACAAGATTTTATAAGCCACCAATCACATCTGTTTCATACATCTTAATATTCCTTTTTTTTTTTTTTAATTTGTTCACTGCTTTCTTATAAATGCAGTCTGAATTTTCATAGTAAACCCAGTCATACTATATATTAATTTCATATTGTAGCAAGATATTTTTTGAAATTTTTTCTGATAATAATTGATTGTAGTTTTGCATGAAGACATGTGGTATATCATGAAGATAAATGTTTTGAATAAATGGCTGCAAATCAATAGTAATAGTTGTCTGACCTTCAAATTGACAGTTCCACACACTTTAACCATTTCCCCTAATAATGCTGAGACCAAGGAAGATTTTCCAGATCCAACCTGACCCACAATCGCAACAAGTTTTCCTTTAGGTATTTTTAAATTGATGCTGAAATGAAATATAAGGTATTCTTTACAATGGGAAATAAAACTCTGGTCATCTGCCTGAATATTTCTAAAGCTTGTGTCCATCTAAAATGGATAATCAATTTAAGACATTTGTTGTTACCAGTGACTAGTAATTGTATCTGAAAACAAATGCATATTTAATCAATGAAATAAAATGTGGTAGAATTTGCTCATAAAATACATCAAAACGCTACCTCAGAACCAAATTGACGTAAGTGCCATTTCATAAAAAAATTTTTTTAATTGCTTTTTCTTAACCTCCATTGAACCCTCTATGCGTCAGTTTGTCAAGAATCAAAATTTGACTTGGTTCAGCAAAAATACGCATGATTAAAAATGATGTAAGTGTAAAAGCCTTCACGTTTGTGTGCACTATTATAATAGCAATTACGTCCTGAATGGAATAGACAGAAACACTCACACAAACTTGATGGTCTTGTGATTTTTTCATAAACATTTGAGCAGAAATGATCAAAAAGCTTACGAAAGACGATGTGTTACTTGCTATAATAGGTGAGTGCTGAATAATATAATTGATGCATGCTTTGGTAACAAATCATGACCATAAAATTTATTGATTCATTCCAGATATGGACAAGCATCTGACAAAATTGCATACGAACATACAGCATCAAGTACTCATTACCTACCAAAGACAACGACAAGCAGGAAGTTTTTTTTGCTCATTACTCTGGATATCTCTTACAACATGGTAAAGGTATAATTCGGATAATCCCGAGGGGGGAATCGCAAAATGCAAGGCGTGTAGAACTCCCAACAACAAATCGCCGATGGAAAAGATGTCAGAAGTAGAAAATCATTATGCCAGTTTTCCAAAAGTAGATAGCCACTATTGCCAGGCGGACTCCAAGCGTCAGTATTTTGATGCTAGTTTGACAATAAAATGCATGTACATGTGTGTACGTGGAGCAGTGTAATGAAACTGGTTCAATTCCAGTGAAGGAAAATGTGTATCGTAGGATTTTTAATGAGAATTTCAATTTAGGATTTCTTGTACCTTCAAAAGATGTATGTGATACTTGTGCATCGTTTGAAATTCTCAAGAACGCTTATCAGATCACTGATTCAAAACAGAGAGCCATGGATGAACACCTTGTATGGAAGCAAGCAGCCCGCGACTCCAAGGCATACCACAACAGGGGCTGGTGACCGCTGTTTTTGACCTGCAACAAGTTATGCCATGCCCTTAACATAGTGTAGGAGTTTATTACCTGAGAAAGTTAAATGACACTGTTTTCAAGCAAAACGCATTCCAAGGCGACAAATTGTTTATAAGAAAACAGATGAAGGTGAGAAAGTACATTTCGAGGACAACATCGGTGGTGAGTTAGAGGAAAGAAGTTATTTTAAGATAGCTTGCCAGGCAAGGTAATATACGCCCACTGGCAGCTTTGATTTTGAATAAAAATATTTAGCAGTACAGTAACAATCATCAGTATGAAATATTCAACCTTCAGTCATACACTTCTTTTGAACTCTTTAGGGCAATACTGAATAATATTGAGTATAAATTAATGCCCTTGTTTTTGAAAACGTGTTCAATTTTTAGCACGGCATTTCATGTGGGTATATAAAAAGAGGCAGGCCTCTGATCTTAAAGATGCAACTCCAACCGGCATACAAATCTGCTCTTGTTATAGACAAGAACAAAAAATGTGACTTAACCAAGTTGTGTGCTTTCATTTCCCATGATTGTCATGTGTTTTATGCGGAACTAAAGTTTAATGGCACTATTCAGAGTTGTTGATTCGAAATGTTTAACAGTCTTTAGTGACTAAAGTATAAATTTTCTCATATTAAAGAAATTTTATTACCGGTAGTTTGAATTCAATGATATATATATATATATTTACTGCCAGTTATTTATGCTGAGTAATTCCACAAAATTTTTAAAAATCAATATTTATAACCCAAATACATCAAATCTTTTAAATCACACAGCTCTAATATCAAGGGCAAAAAATTGTTCAGAGTGAAATTGCCGAAAATTCAAATTTGACCAAGATCTCATCCATATAAATAAACGATGTAAAACTCCATTTATTTAATTTCATTCATCAATATTAATCATCACAACACATTTCATAAAAATCACATGAAACCTGTCATCTCTATTGTGTTCATGAAACAAATTTTGAAGCATTTTATCTACATCAAGGGCTAAAATTCAAAAACCATTCATCGAAAAAACATCAAGTTCAAACTTATCCAAGATCTCATCAATATACACCAAATTTCATTAAAATCAGTTGAACACTGTAGTTTCTATTGTGTTCATAAACAAATTTTGACACGTTTTTTATACGCCTACATGAAATGGGGGGCGTTGGTCCGTCCACAATTGCTCGTAAACACTCTACAAGACACAATTCTTGAGTGATTTTGACAAAACTTGGTATGAGTTTTCATAATCACCCAAGGATGAACCCTATTGAAAATCAGAAGAAACTTTGTACTTGAAAATGCGTTTAATTTTTAGCTCATAAATACCAGAGAGTATATAGATAGACGAGAGTTGTCACTCCGTCAGATATGCATTGCCGCCATTTTATTAGCATGGACTGTGGCGCCATCTAGTGGAAGGGTGTTCATGTGGTTAGGTAGTAAAAAAAATGGCTTCACCTCAGCCGTCTCAGAGCAGTGACAGTTATTGTTCTGCTCCAAATTGTTCGAATGCCAAGAAACACCAGCCATACCTGCACTTAATTCCCTAAAGACCCAGGTAGGTAAATAGATCATTAATTTACAGTATACTACATACTGAGGAGACGTGCAGCTTGCGTCAACTAGACCGATTTGTCCTTTGAATTAAGCAAAATGTTTGATCCTAAATGTATGTTTCATTTTTATTTTCTTATGTATTAGGTGTAAGAGATGGATAATAAAATGCAGAAGGAAGGATTTGGAAACAAAATCATCTGCATATCTAAATGCTAACTGCAGGCTCTGTAGCTGTCATTTTGAGACACAAGAATTCATGAATGTCAATAGAAATAAGCTGGTCTGGGATGCTATACCATCCATTTTCCCAGATCTCCCAAATCCACCACCACAGTTAACATCACAGCGCAAGCCACCTGCCATGAGAAACATCTCTATATTGAATTTGCCACAGATTGAAGAGGAAAAATGTCAAGTCCATGTGCAGGTTATTATCAATTCTATTTTAAAAAAATTCCTTGCTCTATTCCTACATAATCAAGGGGCAGACAGATACTTTGAGTTTCAACTTGAAAGCTTTATACAGAAAATCAGTACCTAATAACTTCTGGTTCTTGATCAAATATCTCTTCAACAATACGATCGACAAATTCCTAAAAAAAGCAAAATGTTTTGTAGTCTGATAAGCAATGAGTTACGTCCCTTTGTTTACAATTTTGAGAGAGGGGTAGAATAATGGAATTGAAACTTCTGATAATCAATAAAAGATTATGATTTGCTACAACAAATTCTTCCGTTTACCAATATAATGGTGTGTTGCACTGAACGCCTTATATTATAATTCATGAAAAGGTAGGGTACAACCATTTTCATACATAAAATTATGCACATGTCATGTTGTGAAATTGCAAGAGATGAAATGTCCTTGTGAAATTGAATACAGATTGCAATAGTCCATCTGTTTAGCCTATAATATAGAGTAGTGGCAAAAACCGATGGTTTTATTTGTTTATAAAGGGTTTTGAGATGAATGGAGATGGAATGGATGCAGTGGAAATGTATAAATTATATAATATTTACTTTGTCGGACATTTTCGGATTATAATCTTCTTGAGCTGTGAGATGTTGTCCAGTTGAAATCAATGTTGACAGTGAAGACGAAAACACACCGGCTCGGTTTATATATGAGGCTGCGCTAGGCTTGGTTGCTTCTCAAGTTGACAAAGACAAAGGTCTGTATGGCTTCAGTCAAACGATTCAAGCTGACTTAGGCCAATACAGACCTATACTTTTTTTTTGTTTTGTATTGCGCCTTTTTGTGACTTCATGTTAGCTTTAAGTAATGAAGTTAAAAGATTACTAAAAATTCAATATGTACCGTTTTATATTTTTTGTGCGTGTTGCTTTTTCTTTTGGCGCCTACTCTTTTGCTACAAATTGTGTGATATTCAGTTCACAAATGACCCCGTTTTCTTTATATGTTTTGAAAACGTTTAAAATTGAATTTCAGAAAATTGTACAGCTACACACTGAATTGATCTCAGCACGTCAAAAGCCAGAATATAATCTTTCTGCTGGGGAAATTGTGCAGGCTGCTGTGGATATTGGTATGAAACCAGCAACAGCCAAGTTTTTTGAGGGCCAGTTGAGAAATTGCACACGAAAAGAAAAAGGTTAGAAAAGACTTGATTGAATGGTATAATAAGTTATAAAAGCTTGCAAAAACTTTACACTTAATTTTGGCCATAACAGGTGACTGATGAGATGACCAATAGATAATGAATTTTTGTGTAAAATGTTTTATTTCCAAGATTTAATAGGATGCATTCACTGATTGCAGAAAAAATCACCTACCACAATTTGCAAGTAAATTTTGACGTAGTCTTCATAATGTCTAACATGAAAAAAATATGGCTTATGTGTGTTTTTGTAGATGTTATAAATTGTTTTATGATCTTACAGGTGGACTGTGAATGAGAAGGCAATGGCTCTTGGGATATACTTCAGGAGTAGGAAAGCTAATCAGACATTGTGTGCGTTATTTACGATGCCATCTGCTAGCACTCTCAACAGGTAGGTTATATTAGTGATTTTATATTATAGACATATAGACACAACGGCCAGAATCAGTTTAATTATTATTGAATTATTATTCACATGCCATTGTTGAGGCACCAGTTTACTATATCCAATTTTTTTTACTTTTAATAAAACTAATTCAGTTCTTGATAATTTATATTAAGAAGTTTTTTTTAGAAAGTTAAACACATTTTTTTGTGCATTTTTATTTTTTTTTACATAGGTATGTTAGAGGTATTCCAAGTATACCAGGAGTTTCCAGTCTTATCGTTGAGTTACTGAAGATGAAAGTAGTCAATATGAGTGACATTTCCAGGCACTGTGTCATCACCTTTGATGAAATGAGTATGAAAAAAGAGCTTAAATACCACCCAGCCAGAGATGCAATATACGGACAAATTGAACTGCCTGAAAGACTTGCCACACCCTGCAACCAAGCTTTAGTTTTCATGATGCTTGGTTTGGCTGAAAATTGGAAGCAACCATTTTCTTTTTATTTCAGTGAAAATGCTGCATCAGCTAAAACTTTAAAAAACTTATTAATTGATGTTCTGCAGGCTGTGTGCAGTACCCAACTAAAGCCAGTTGCTATAGTTTGCGACCAAGGCTCCTGCAATAGATTGCTTTATAGAAACCTTGACATAAAGGGTTGCACAGCCTTATTTCATGGTTTGTATATATTTAACAAGTAATTTATAAGTAATCTTGCCATTTACAAATGAGGATGTCTGAGAAACATGTATCAATGTTTACTTTTCAGTTCAATAGAATGAAAATTTATGCATTTCATGATGTCCCTCATATCTTAAAGAATGTGCAGAATGCATTAAAAAAAAATGAAATTCAATTTGAAGACAACATGGCAATTGTTGAATATAAAGCTATGTTGTTTAATTTATGATTGACAATGTTTTCTTTAAAAATGAGGTTGAAGGCATGTTTATTCTTTTGTTCTTGTTTCCAGTTTCAATTTTGTTACTGTTGCTGATGTTATGGGTATGGGTGTGATTTTTACATGTATGTGTTCTTATTTGATTATTTAAAACTCTTTTCTTTTATTACATTTGAGACTATCAGAAATTATATGGTAAACATGTATAATGGTAGATTTGCTGCTGTGACAAATTGGTTGTCTTGCTTATTGTATCCACAAAAAATTGTCTATCAATTTCCTGCCTATAATGATTCTTGTATGTATTTTAAACCACATAATTGGTGCTATTGTCAAAATATGTACTCTCCTTAATTATGTAAAAAACAATTTATTATTAATATTTATTTCAGACAGCTTCATGGAAGGATGTGGAAAAATTGACAAAAGTCTTCCTGTCCGCATGGCTCCTAAACTGACAACAAAGCATATTTTTTTGCCACCATTTTCACCTATGAGGGTAATTACTTCATTGTTTTTATCTCCAAGGTTATTCGTAGATGATTTTACTAATTTAGATCTGTGAATTGTGGTTGACAGTTTATTAGTATCCAAAATGTAGAGAAGTAGAGAATTTTTTATTATACATCTGAGGTCCAGAGTTTAAACTGAGACTGATAGTAAATAGTTTAGCTCAGATATTCCTAAGCAATAGACCGAAAGATGGGTTTCCTAATAATTTTTGGGAGATTATAATAAAGTTAACCATCTTTAGAAAATTATACAGTGGTGTAACCTATTTTCGTGGATATAAGGATTCAACACTTCGTCAAAGTTAAAAAAACGAATTTTTTTTTTATGTCTTAGATGTTTCATCAGATATTCTACAAAATAATTAAAATTGGTTTGTTTCGATTTTCTTTATTAATCCTTCACTTTGACCCATATTTCATGAGCAACCAACTCGGTAACGGCGGCAGAATGCGTCACCTATTTTCGTGTACAATGTTTGATCTATAAATAAGTCTAGAAAAAATCGTTGTATGGATACCGGGTGGTATAATTAACTTCTTAGTATTTATCTTTAATATCAATTCATTATAACTAGTGACAATTCCTCCAAAGAACCACGATTTTAAAAAAAAAATAGTGACTGACAAAATAAGATACGTAGCGTGATTTATTGCTAAAAGTCACTGCATCTACAGCAAATTTCCTAAAACAAATAAATGACATTTTTGACTTTTTGAATGTTCAAACAATAAGGGGAAATTCAACAAGCAAACCAATTAAAGCCTCAGAGGAAGATATCTGTAAAATAGAAGGAAAATAGTTGGAAAATGGCGAGTGAAGAAAAATGATACTAACTAATTGTACAGCCATGTTTTGATGCACTGTTGCTGTGTTTAAATGGAATTGATATGCTGTTAAGGGAACTATTATCTGAGAGTAATTTCAAATTCATACTAAGTGATCGTATCAATCAAGACTGTTTAGAAAATTTCTTTTCACAAATTAGAGCAAAAGGTGGGCATAGATTCAACCTCAGCAATTGAATTTATCTATGCATATAAGTCACTTTCTTGTAAAATCTTTCTAAGCCCAATATCATCTGCCAACTGCATAAATGATCAAGATAGTTTGTTGATATCTCTTAATAGTTTTGTTTCAAGGGAAAGTAAACAAAGCAAACGGAAACTTGAAGAGGAGGTTAAAGAAAGGCCATCCAAAGTACCAAGGCTTGCCGTAGATATTCCTATTGAAGGCATTGAAGAAGATATCCTTATAACTCTTGTAGTTGAAAATGTTCTGTGTTATGTTTCTGGTTTTGTGGTAAATAAGCTGCAGATTAATGATAACTGTTTGGAATGTTTTAACAAGCTCACAATTTCTGATAATAATGTAGTGTCAGATTCAAGTCTGTTGTGCCATTTTAAGGTTTATAAACACAAAACCAACACTGCATTTGGTTCTCTAACAGTACCATCTGTTTCTTTGATATATTTATTCAAACGCATTGAACTTGTTTTTGAAAGAATCATTCACAAAAAATGGAGTGTTAGCCGTGTTAAGTCATCTTATTAAAGATTGTACAAGGCGTAGTTCCGTACACTGTATTACAACTTTGTGACAAGCACTCCGACAGTAAAACAAAGTTGAGGAGTTATAAAGCAATTTGTCAGCTATACCTTAGATGTAGGCTTCATTATTTTTTGTAAATTTCAAAGTAGGGAACTGGAACAAAAGAAATGTAAGAAAAGTAGGAAAGCTTCAGTTGTTATGCACAAGTTGTAATGTTCTATAAGAAAAATGTGTTCAAAACACTACACTGTATTACTAGACTACAGTTTTCACACAATTTGTCAAATCTGTCATCTTTACCTATGAGGTATATCTGTGGTGTTTGTAACTCTCCCACAAGTCTATTTACATATATTCAAGACCTAAATCAACCCTCGAAACTACGGAATGTTTCCCTATAATAAACAATGATAAATCTTATATCAAGTCTTTTTTTTTTATTGAGATATATTATCTATTGGAGTGACATGATAGCACATAGCATAAAATAGCTATAAAAGTGTTGTGATTATATTGTGGATGGATGTTATATCATAGGCTTAACTGATGCATAGGAGTAAGGACTGATATTTATTGGTCTATTTCAGGCAGAGTTTGCCGTTTCCATTAAACTTGATCAATACCCAAAGGAATAACATTTCATTGAGTGAAAGGACAATTTATCTTTAAGTCTTTGGTGTATTCCAGTATAGATGAAAACTTGCAAATCTAAGTAAAATAATTGTGAAGCACTCTATGTTGGAGCAATGCAATCTATATGAATACCCTCCCACTAGATGGCACCACAATACATGAAAACAAAATGGCGTGAGCGAGGTGATCACTCTCGTCTATCTATACTCTCTGTAAATACTCTAGAAGGGACAACTCTTGACAGATTTTTGACGAAACTTGGTGTGGTGTTCGTAATCACCCAAGGATGAACCATATTGAAAATCAGAAGAATCGAAAAATATATAGTACGAGTTATTGCCCTTGTTCAAGTTTTAGCTTATAAACACTCTAGAAAGCACAATACTTGACAGATTTTGATGAAACTTGGGGAAATTGTTTATTATCACCCGTGAATGAAATCGATTGAAAATCAAAAAAAATCAAAATATTTTTTGATAGGAGTTATTGACCTCGTTCTTGAAAACGCTTTCAAATTTTAACATTTTAACACTAAAAGGCATGATTCTTGGCGGATTTTGACAAAACTTGGTTTTATTATTCAGTATCGCACTGAAGATTGAATATTTGCCTTCTAGAGTTTTCATGAGCTAAAAATTGAACACGTTTTCAAGATAAATGGCAATAACTCATACTCAATATTATTCATTATCGCCCTACAGAGTTCAAAAGAAGTGTATAACTGAAGGTTGAATATTTCATACTGGTGATTGTTACTGTACTTCTAAATATTTTTATTCAAAATCAAAGCTGCCAGTGGGCGTATATTACCTCGCCTGGCAAGCTATCTTTTTAAGTCAAGGGCAATAAAAAAAAAACCGTTCATCGAAAGATTGTCAAATTCAAACTTGAACAATATACATTATCACATCAAGTTTCATTAAGATAGCTTGCCAGGTTTCATCAAAATCTGTTCTTTTTGATCTTAAATAGGGTTCATCCTTCGGTGATAACAAATACTCACATAAAGTTTCATCAAAATCCGTCAAGAATTGCGCCTTCTAGAGTGTTTACAAGCTGAAATTGAACGCCTGTTAAAGGACAAGAGCAATAACTCATACTAAATATTTTTCAATTTTTCTGATTTTCAATAGGTGACCGGTGATTACAAACAACCATACCAAGTTTCGTCGAAATCAGTCAAGAATTGTGCCTTGTAGAGTTTTTACGAGCAATTGTGGACGGACGGACAGGGTTACGACAATATACTCCCCCAATTTCATGTGGGCGTATAAAAATCAGATAAAACTGTAGTCTCTTTTGTGTTCACAAGAAATGTTGACGGAGTGATGGACAGAGGCAACGGCAATATATGTCCACATTTCCATGTGGGCATATAAAAAATATTTTCATCTAAGTCACCTACTCTCTGACTACAATAATATTTGAGTGATTTTCGAAAAGTATGTAAAATCATTGAACCTTATATTTCTATAGACCCGAAGACAAATGGCATATAATTGAAAATTCTATTTTGAATATTTATGAAATGAGAGAAAAAATTCAATTCAGAGATCATTGTATTCAGAGAGTAGGTGAAAATAAACAATCACCCAGGTGAAAATAAAGGTTTTAATTCAAAATAAAAAGTGAAATATGTCATATGTGAGCCACCGTATTATCCAGACACCCAAAAACAAACATTTCAAATAAAATACTAAGAATTCAAACTTACTTGCTTAATGTTGGACTTGAAATGGACTTGTCCCATGTAAAGGTGCCTTTATCAATATGTATGACATCAGCTAAAAAAAACAGAACCAAATATATGAAATATTGCTTAAAAGTATAAACCCACACAGAAGTAGAGGTATAGTTTAATCCAACATGTATTGAGACAGTAAAAATATGTCGGATTATGGAGAGTTCTGAGATTTTTAATATTTATTATATACAGCTATTAATAGCTCATTAAACCCTATGATAGATAAATAAAGACAACTGTAACATTGTTTCTTTTGATTCAGTAACAGGCACATGTCAATTGATCAACGCGATAATCCTTCACATCGATCAATTTGATAATCCTTTACAGTTGCATAGATATAATCAACAAACATTTTTTTTAAATAGTCTTCTGTAATAAAATGTCACTTATCGCTGTTCGACATAAACCAAATTTCATAATATATAAATAAATATAGCTAACTTTTATATAACTTTAATATCTTTGTTTTTGGTAAATGTAGCTTTTCAATAGCTTGATTGAAATATGCTCGAAGAAAGAGATTTTTAAGTAGCTTTAGCGGAATAAACTTTTAAGGATGTTAACTTTTCTGTACCTTTATGAACATAACCTGTGTGAGTAATAGCTTTTCAGTAGTTTTTATGAAATAGATTCAAGGAGAATTAGCTTTTTAGTAGATTTATTGAAATAGAATCAAAGAAAAAAATCTTTTGTGATTCAACATTCTTCTCATGACAAGAATCCAATATGGTCTCATATGCCGTAGATCCATTAAGGCTACGTAAACGTCCATTTGTTTTTAAAAGCTATTAAGCTATTTCTCCCTGAATTTGTTTAATTAAAGTTACTTTAAAGCTCTTTGAGTTTATATCATTACAGCTGCTTCAAAGCCTTTTTTCCATGAGTCTTTTTTATTAAAGCTACTGAACAGCTAAATCTCCTTGAGTCTATTTCATTGTTGTTAGTTTGATAGAATTACTCCAAAATGTCGCGATTGTGGGGAAAAAACCGAGACATAAATGGTTTTTGGTTTTCTAATGGCTCGGGGAGAACTTTTTACAGCCTCCTGAAGTTTGGCCTCACTAACCTACTTGTGACGATGATCATAAAGTCAAAATGGGCTTAACCTTAGACATTTCTCATAA